TTTTTGGAAGTTTGGTGAGAACAAAATGGGTTAGGGGGACCTTGTTTTTTTCTTAATACATCTTAAGTTTTAAGATACTTAATACTTATTTTTGTGTAGAATATTATCTTCTTTCATAATTATCATTACTGAAGCATTTCACTTCTGTGATAGTAAGTATACATTTTTACTTCAACTGACTGACAGAATTTTGACCTACAAGGCACATAAGATTTTTACTCCAAATCACCTGTAGAATGATTACTTATGTTTGAAAGTGACCATTCAATGTTGCCGTTAAGTTAGCATGACATGCCTGTTCGTAATTCTGAAATTGTTAAAGTTGATTAGCTATGATGGTAACCCACGTAATCCTATGATCTTCAATCACATACAAGTTCAGGGTTGCCAAAAATGATGGTGATGGAGACATTTGGTTATTCAACTTTGCAAGGCCAAAATGGAAGTCAGAGAGCTAATGTTTACTGAAAAGCAAATTATGGTGGAACACAGACTGAGCGCAATGACGCATCTCTCTATCTGCCTCCTTCTTTAGGCCTTAACTATATATTTAATCCACATTCTCTAAAAAGGCTGCTTGTAACACTTTCCACCCATCCTGAAATACTGATCACCCAGTGCCCTATTCACATCCCCTCACTCTCACCCTTCTGAGGACCTCTCTTCATGGGGTGGGGGCAGGGAGAGGATGCAGACATTAACTCTGGGCGCACTGGAGTCCAGCCTGGGTTTGCCCTGTGCAGTGAGGATCAGCAATGAGGGGAGGCCCCCGGCTCATTACGGGAAGCAACTCCATGTCCCACAACCCAGCACTGAGAGGCCTGGGCTCCCCTCCACCTGGGTCATGGAGCCAACCTCATCTCTGCCCACCTCCCTGCTCCCCTAGGAGATGATGCTTTGGGGTCTAGCGTTCCTGCTCCAGAGCCCTGAAGCAGCCAGGGTGATGGTCAGTTACGGAGTGTGGGGGCGGTCAGAAGAGAGAGGCCTTCTTCTTGAGTTCATTCCGCTTCCACAGAGCCAGCTTGCTAAACTCTTCGGGAGACATGGCAAATACCCTGGAGAAGTCCTCAGCTGACAGATGCCTCTGTAGGGGGACACGTGGAAGCTGCTTAGGGATGGACGGGTGGGGCTGGGCTGAGTGGCCAAGGAGGGCATTCAGCCCAAGAGGCCAAGATCTTTCCCACCAGACAGAGGAGGCTCCCCCACCAGAAGCCTCTGCACATTTTCCCTGCATACCTCAAGCCTCATCCGATCCACACCTGGAGGCAACTTGGTTCGCCCCTTATTGGTCACCACCAGCATTTCGTAGGGATAGATCTGGGGGGGCAGGGGAGAGGGGCAGTCTTAGGCTCATAGCGTTCCCTGTCAGCATAACACCCTCAACTCCCCAGGCCCCCTTATCAGCCTGCAGGGGCCATTGGGTTCATGCCATTTTGCCATCCATCTCCCCCAGCTTCCCTGATGCAGCCCCGTCAGCAACTCCAGGAGGACCCTTCAGCGCATTCACGTCCCTGGCTTCTCCCCGAGCTGGCCCACCCACTGTAGATGCTTCTGTTCCCTGCCCACCGCCCCCTGGCTCTGCCACTGCCCCTCACCTTCTGCTCCAGCACACAGGGCAGGGAGTTCCCCCGGTCCATCCTCCCCCTCTGGCCCTCTCCGTTCTGGGGAGACCAAAGCCGCAGTGAGCCAGAGTGGGGCAGGGAGACCTCCCCAGCCTTACCCTGGGCTTCTCATGTCCTCACCAGGCAACTCTGTGGCCCCACACTCCCCTCCCTCAACACTGCCAGTCACCCGTCCATGGCTTCTGGCGCTCCCCGTGTTCCCCTCCAGAAGGGACTCACCTGCAGACCTGCAGGAAAAAAAGAGTCATTGTTCAGAGGTGGCTCTGAGGTCAGCAGGCCTTCAAACCTGCCAGCTCAGCCTCCCCAACCTCCAGCCACACAGCCTTGCCCACATCACAGACACGGCTGCCCTGAGGGCCTGCTTAAGCCCCTTTTCCCCGCTCGCCTGGCGTCAGGTTGGCCCTGCCTCTCACCTGGGCTTCCAGTCTCACTTCCAGATGGGCTGAAGTCTGTGGACTGTAGCTAGAAAGGACACAAAGGGATCAGAAAAGGAAGCTGGAGTATTCCTCATCGGTCCCCTTCACTTTAAGGGTCTCCCCTCTCCCCAGGATGCCCAAGTAGCTCAGAGGCCCCCCAACATGCACACATTCCCCCCACCTCCCTGTGCATGCGTGCAGTTTGCAACCTCTGGTCTGGGACCTTACCCGGCTCAGGGTGGTTCTGCCATAGGCGGGGAGAGAAGACGACTTAGATGTTCCTGCTTGCAAGGCTGGAAGACAGCAAGAGGCCGGTCAGTCCCTCTGGCCTGATAGTCATGCCTAAGAGGGCTTCCTCCCTGGCCCCCCCACCAGGTGCAGGGCAGTGAAGGGTCAACTTGGGAAAACCCAGTGGGCCTCTGTTGGCTTCCAGCTCCTGCCCATTACCTTCAGGGAGTGACATCATGCGGGCAGCCCTGAATTATTTCTAATGCCTTCCCTCTCTCTCTAACACAGTCCACCAAATTTACATTTGGGCCAAGTGCCCGAGTATTAACATCCAGAGTCAGCCAGTGATAGTCAGACAATGAGGCTCACCACTGTAAAATGAACCTCTGGGATACAAAAATAAATCTATCGTTTCGTCAAAATAATTGAATTATAGCAATTTTATTAGCAATGTTAGTAATGGAGTTTCAAACATTTGATGTTATAATACAGAAACAATAATTTTCTCAACTTTGTCAGCTGCCAGATTGCACCGGCATTCAATATACTTCGCATTTGCATGATCAGATGTCACTTTTAAATTGCACATTTAATAATATCACTAACTTTTCAAGCCCTGAATATTATAATTCAAGAAGACTGGTTTTCAGTAACAGGTTTTCCTAGAAAAACTTTGTACCTAAGATTCTTAGTTTGGGCAGATCTCAAAACTCCTTTAACTCCAATTACTAGAAATTGTTGGTATTTTATAGCAATCATTTTGACCAGCATTTTTGTTTAAACATTTAGCCTTGATAGAATCAAAACTATAAGAAATGGTCTTCTTCTTTTTCTTCTTTCTTGGGGGGGAACTGTTTTCTTAAAACATTCTTATAAAATTTGTTTTTTGGGGGGCAGTCGTTTAGCTCTG